TTGAATTATGTTTTATTTTTATGTTTTTCTAAGCAGTAATATACAAAATGGCATGTGCGAATTGGACCAAATTTCTCATATTGTGATTTCTACACTCAGTTTAATTCTTTCAGGATGCTCAAGACTGTCTACATTATAATATATATCTGGTCTATAACAATCTAAAATATAATCCATATCCTCCAGCTTTATATCATTCCATTTATATGCATTCTGTATTGGGATAGTGATCACAGCATCTCTCACCTCAGCATCAGTTGAGCACCGCATCTCTGTATCATCCCTGCATCCAGCTTGGCTTGCCTCCCTGGTCCAGAGCTGAGCTAATTTGCTAGCAGGCAGCTATCTCTACATTCACAGCGTCAAACAAACATATTAGCTCATCCACACCGCACTGTAATAATCCATGTATGTTTACTGTATACTTACTGAAATGCATAATGTACTGTACTTTTCTGTCAATAAACAGTGTATCAGATTGCTAGCTGTGCTATCACGTTTCATAACAAAGAATCAGCTCTCAAACACGCGAAGACTCGCTCCTAAATCCTCCCCAGACGCGCGCTCATTCCTCTCCACGGCGCCGCTGACCGTTCTTCATCATATATAACTTGTAATATGATAATCATAGACTGATATGATCCGAGTCGCGTTCGCTACAACTCTTCCGTGCGGAGAAAAGCCTCCAATTCTCGCGTCCACGAACTACAACAGCCAACAAACCACTGGCTGGCCGACCGGATGGAGACCCCCCTCTCTCGCCCACTCTGATGACGCAGCGGTGTCAGAGTTCACAAAGTCTGTAATGGCCGATCTGAGAGACATGTAATCTGACCAATTGCAGCCCAGAACCGACCGCAGATATCTATAACATCAGACGGGGTGCCTGCGCGCTGGAATGAGATGGAGAGCGCATTATTTCCAGACGTGCTGGATTCCGTTACCTGGACAGAACGCGAGTCAGCAAACAGTGTATCAGATTGCTAGTATTGCTAACACGTTTCATAACAAAGAATAAGCTCTCAAACACACGGAGACTCGCTCCTAAAGCCTCCCCAGACGCGCGCTCATTCCTCTCCACGGCGCCGCTGACCGTTCTTCATCATATATAACTTGTAATATGATAATCATAGACTGATATGATCCGAGTCGCGTTCGCTGCAACTCTTCCGTGGCGGAGAAAAGCCTTCAATTCTCGCGTCCACGAACTACAATAGCCACAAACCACTGGCTGCGAGACGCAGAGGTGTCAGAGTTCACAAAGTCTGTAATGGCCGATCTGAGAGACATGTAATCTGACCAATTGTAGCCCAGAACCGACCGCAGATCTCTATAACATCAGACGCGCTGCCAGCGCGCTGGAATGAGATGGAGAGCGCATTATTTCCAGACGCGCTGGATTCCGTTACCTGGACAGAACGCGATATATCTCACCGATGGAAGCACGCAGAAACGTGAAAATGGTCTTGTTTGAAAGAAGAGATCCTAATCTAAAAGATAATATAGAGTATATAGATATTTGTGGCTGTTTGTGGCTGACTGAAGCAGTGCTACGAGTATAAATGTAAATTCGCTCAGAGGTGACCAAATTTTACATCGCGATTCTATCGAAGATAATTCGATCTGTGATTGTCACACAATGAAATAATCTACATCGTCAAATTCCTGAGAATGAGAGCTTTCTTGTGATATATGACGACTTTTTTGTGAAAAATATATAAAATACACATTCTTCGTAAAATATTTTCGCAATGGTTAGGCGGAAAATCGTGTGTGGGACGAATACATTTCTAAGCTTAGTTTTACTGCTTTGTGACTATAAAAACCAAAAGGAATGGTATTCTTTGTAAAGAAGACACGCCAAGCTTTCAAATGAACCCATATATGGGCTGATACCATATAAGGAAGGCTATGTAAATGAAGCATACACATTTTTAACGCGATTTTGGACCCGTATCCGGGTCCGCAGAGTTTAAGTTTAACAGTGAGGGTAATTTTTTTAATTTTTTATTTTTTTTTGAAAGGGTAATGCAAGCAACAGTCTTTATCAGCGTAAAAGATTGTAAGCCTGTCTAATAACCAAATCTAATGTTGATAAACTGTACTTTAATTCTTCTTGATACCTGATATTCCTTCCATTAGCATCCTAAGCTGGAATGAAAATTATTTACTAATTTTCCCAATTTTACCACATACATGTATCTTATTTTCAAGCAATGGAAAATTAGAAACAGAATACTCCACAGTAAACCGCTATAACAGACCTTTTACAGAGTCAATTCTTAGTATTATCTTCTGCTGGATTTCAGGTCATATTGGTCTATTAAGAAATGAATAAGCTGATACTGCTGCAAAGGAAGCTGTTAATTTGTATACAGAGTGTCAAATCTTCTCTCAGACCTGCTCTGAATTGCTACATATTAAACAAATAGTAAAAGGAATGTGATTCCTATACCAACAACAAATTACATGAAAATCTTACTTAAACTTCTAACAGACTTTTATACCCCTTTCACTGATGAGGTTTAATCAAGTGGTATAGGCCAAATATTCTTTAGGTCATTCAAGACCACCATGTATGTTTTCCTTCAACATGTATAATGTTCTGCATCATTTCCCTTCCAAAACAAGTTCTCGTTTTCTCTGACATGTTTCAGGTCATATTGGTCTATTAAGAAATGAATAAGCTGATACTGCCGCAAAGGAAGCTGTTAATTTGTATACAGAGTGTCAAATCTTTCTCTCAGACCTACTCTGAATTTCTACATATTAAACAAATAGTCATGTACCAACAACAAATTGCATGAAATTCTTCCTAAAATTCGAACAGATTTTTTATACCCCTTTCAAGAGATTTGATCAAGTGGTATAGGCCAAATGTTGTTTGGGTCATTCAAGACCACCACCACCACTTAATAAGCTTTTCCTAACCAGAAAAAGAATTTGTGCAATTAAAACATCTTGTATAGTTGTACTGTTCTTCTTTAAACAGGTTGTTTTAAAATCAACCCTACACAGCTGTCAGCATAAGAATGGTTCCCCTTCTAGGGAACTCCACGCTGCATTGGGGAATGCAACTTGCATGTGTATGAAGCACGTGTGAAACAACGCCAATCTATTGGCCCACCTGGCCCATGACGTCATAGGCGGGATGCCCAGAAGTATATAAGGGCACCTGCTGAATACGTCATCCTCTTTGCTGTCTTCAGGAGATGTCTGTCGCGAGCAGTGTGTTACCATGTCTGTCAACCCAGGTGAGCATTTCAATAAGTGCGTGCCTCCGTGTCCTAGGTTTTTGACACCTGAGGACACGCACGACTTGTGCGTTATGTGCCTGGGGGAGAAGCACGCGCGGTTGGTGCTTAAGGGCGCCGAATGTGAGCATTGTGAATTATTTCCTATGCGTAAGCTCTGATCCCGTTTGTCCCTTTTTTCGGGGGGAAAGGGGCAAGCATCTGCGCCTCGCGGGTGGGGTCGTGGGGATCGCAAGTTGAGGTCGCGGAAAAGTTTGAGAAAGGCATGGATCTTTCAAAGACTTCTGCCGCGAGCTCTAGCGCGCTATGGGATCCAGACGCTCTGTCATTGGAGTCATCTGATCCTGATAGCGCGCTGCTGGGCTCTTCTACTCATAGTGACGAAAATGAAGAGGTTGATGATGATAATGAGAGTGTGAGCACCGAGTCGTCATCGGCCATTCCCAGCCGCGCATACAGGGATAAGTTGGATGTGATGGATCATGCCACTAAGTGGCTCGATCTGGTCTGGACGCGCCAGAAACCGAAGCCAGCTCGCAGCCGACTAGATGAGCGCTTTTTGGCTGGTCTTGATCGTCCCGCCCCAAGGTGTCTTCCGTTTCTCCCAGATCTCCACTCGGAGATATCTAAATCCTCGAGGAAACCGTATTCCTTTCGGCTGCATCTCTTTCAACATGCAGATTATGCTAATGTTGAGGGTGTGGCCGAGCGTGGATACGTGAGGATGCCCCTTGTTGAACAGACATTTGCGAGCTATCTCTCGCAGGGTGAGTCATCCTCTTTGAAGACTCCTGCTTTGCCATCAGTAGCGCTTCAGACCACCTCGCGCCTGAATGGCAGGGCGTATGCGGCAGCAGGTCAGGCTGGTGGTGCTCTGCACACCATGGCGGTGTTACAGGCCTATCAGGCTGACTTGTTGAAGGATTTGGATGAGGGCAGAGGCTTGCCGCCGTAGGCGGTCGAAGAGCTGCGCCTCACCACGGATTTGGCTCTCCACGTCACCTAGCAAACTGCTGCAGCCATTGGGCATTCAATGGCGGCAATGGGGGCTACGGAGAGACATCTGTGGGTTAACCTTGTGGCCATCGGGAAGAAAGAAAAAGACTTTCTACTCGACGCTCCACTTTCGCCGACCGGGCTTTTTGGCACTTCCGTCGAGGCGGTTGTGGAGAACTTCAGGGAGGCGAAGGCACAATCGGCTGCCTTCAGGAAATTTATTTTTTTAATTTTAATTTATTCCCCGGCACTCTCTGTGGTCTGAGCAGCTCTGTAGGAAGGCTGTCTAGGCTCTGACATGGATTGGGGACCTCCTCACCTCCTCAGTATAGCCATCTGAGGGTGATTATGTTCCAGCCATCGGTATGGCGGGACGGGCTTACCTGAATACAGCTATCTGAGGCTAGCTGTGTTCTACTGCGGTTGCGGTAAGCCCTCTTATGGAGTGGTCTCCTTTCCTAGAGCCTAGCTATCTGTGGATAGCTATGTGCTTGCTCAGTGATTGCTCCCCTTTTTAGAGTTTGAACACTAGAACCACCAGGGGTCGCTGTGTACCTAAAACCGCCAGCAGGTAAATTTTACCCACGCACATGACAGCTGTTTCTGAATGGCTAAAGAACATATTATTTCACTCTATTATGCTACTGTCTAGAGTCATGAAATGATTATGTCTAGTCATCAACTATATTTTTGTCCTGTTGTTTTATGTTCAAAACTTTTTTTATGCAGGCTTCACTAGTCACTTTTCATAACGGTCAATATTAAGCTAAACAAGCCTGCACTGACAACGAGAATTAGAAGGAAGTAAATACATATTTAGGTGGTGTAACAGGCTATTATAATACAATGTCATTAATCAATATATTAAGATAACCTATGTTATTTAAATTACTAAAATAGCCTATAGACAATAATGAGCAATAATAATTCACCACATTGCATAGGATGATGCGATGACAAATTCAAGCGCACAGCTTCACCTAATTAATTATTAATTTGTTTAGTTATATCATTTATTATCTGAATTATACAAGAAGAACACCAATAAACTTCGGATAATTTAAAAAAAGAAGAAGGTTTTATTCATTAGCCTACATCAGATCGGATTTTTTTTTCTTCAGGAAACAGGCAGACTAGAATAAATAGCAACACAGAAGCGAACAATAAACGATAGAAATGGCAAAACAAAAATTTAATAATTAATCCAAATTTTGAACAATTATAATGCCCCGTTTTTTGATCTGGTTTTATCTAAACAGTTTTTAACAACAGGGGATTGTAAATCACACAATTTTACTAAAAGTCAGTGACTGGGAGACTTGAATGTTCTATTAAAAATATTTTATGTACGTTTTAAAAACAGCCACGGGTAAAATTTACCCCGTGGCGGTTCGAATGTTAAGTAGCGGTCTTTTGAGCTATTACCTAGACAGTGCGTCTCCCCTCTTTGGGTTTTAAGTAGACAGCCCACTCTTGTGGTCTGGGTAGTTTCGGTCTGGTAGCCCTGCCTGGGTACATAGTTATCTGAGGATATCTATGTGCTAGCTCAGTGACTGCTCCCCTCTTAGGGTCTTTAAGTAGCGGTCTCTTTGAGCCCTTGCCTAGACAGTACTATATCCCCTGCTAGGGTAGTAAGTAGATAGCCCACTCTCTGTGGTCTGGGCAGCTCTGCAGGATGGCTATCTAGGTTTTTGTCTATTGTGGAACTGACATGGGGTTGGGACCTCCTCGGTATAGCCACCTGAGGGTAGTTATATTCCAGCCATTGTTATGGCAGGATGCGGCTTACTTAATTTCAGCTATCTGAGGCTAGCTGTGTTCTACTGCAATTGCGGTGAGCCCTCTCATGGAGTGGTCCCCTTTCCTAGAACCTAGCTATCTGAGTTAAGTAGACAGCCCACTCTTTGTGGTCTGGGTAGTTTTTCAGTCGGTCCCCCTTTTTGGTAGCCCTTCCGAGGTATATAGCTATCTAAGGATATCTATGTGCTAGCTCAGTGACTGCTACCCTTCTTAGAGTCTTTAAGTAGCGGTCTCTTTGAGCCCTTGCCTGGTCATATGCGCTCCATATGACTAGTAAGTCAAATCTCAAATAACTGCCCTGATGACTTGTGTTCTACCCGCCTAAATGATAGAAGTACTTGCGCTGTCCAATCTATAAAGACGGTGTCTGTTCCCCGAATAGTGAGGTCAAAATATAAATTTAATGCAGGATCTAGAAAAAGCTATGTTATTCTGGTCCACAAGCCTTCATAAGACCTTAGGGACATTGCTATCTGAGGATAGCCGAGTTCCAGCTCAGCAGTTACTCTTTTTTCTTGGGATCTCTGAGCTCCTCTGGAGGCTTTTTGTTAGTCTCTTCAGTGGTCTTGTGTATCCAGGCTAGTTCTGCTCATATAGCATAGCTATCTGAGGATAGCTGTGCTCTTAACTTGGGTGGGATGTTCCCCTTGATCTATTCGGGTTCCCCCGTTTTTGCCAAGTTGCGTGAGCGGCCCGTGACGTCAGTGGCATGGCCCCTTTCTGAGGAAAGGCTTGGCGTATGTATGTCGCTTCCTTGGTGCTCCTCCACCAGGTGGACAGGCATGCGCCTCGGCATGGCGTGGTTAGATTTCATTCCCCAATGTGCCCCCTAGGGGGCGCAGCGTGGAGTTCCCTGGAAGGGGAACGTCTCGGGTTACGCATGTAACCATGGTTCCCTGAGAGGGAACGAGCCCTCTGCGCCCCCTTGCCATGCTTTCGGCTTGCCTGTTTACGTCTCCTTCAGACAGCTAAGTGGATGACGTATTCAGCAGATGCCCTTTCATACTTCCGGGCATCCCACTGTAGCGTCTGGACCAATCAAACACACAATATATATTTTGTTAGCTATATTTAACAAATACTCTGTAACACCCCTCAGTTAACAAGCCTTATAATTAATTATAACTAGATATGATTAATTATTAATATTTCCCCATGAGCTGATTTGCTACACCACCTATGACGTCATGGGCCAGGTGGGCCAATTCATAGCTTTCTGTCACGTGACCGGCTCGAAGACTTGGAGGGCAAAACATCCATAGAACTGCAGCACAAGCCTGTCAAATTTCCATCTGTTTCACAGCCGCAAATATTTAGATCACCTCTCAAAAGAATAAAACAAAGGTATGTGAACAAAATGCAAGTTTTGGCCATTTGCAATCCATATTAAGCACCCGCGGCAATATTTCAATCACTAAACAGTGCGACAAAACGTTGTAAAAAACACTTAAAGTGCCTTAATATGTTTAAAACTGTGATATTAAAATATCAAATTCAGTAATGTCTATATTAATGATGCATAGTTTACATAGGCAAGTAGATGAGGCTGGAATATGAAAGCAGTCCGCTTAATGGTTCAGTGTTTTCCTTTTCTATGGGAAACCATTTAACATGAAATTTTGCACATTGCATTTATATTCTGGGTTCATCTGCTTCCCTGTACAAAATATACATCATCAATAAGGTGTTTACTGAATTTCGCCTTTTAATATCTATGTTTTACTACATTACTACTTAATGCAAACTATATGCGTAACCCGAGAAATTTTTCATAACATTAAATCCTTAATTACCTACCTCTCTACAATCTTATTTTCCAGAGTTAACCAGTGGACATATCTCTGTTTTTAAACCAGCTTAGTTTATTGTTTATTGTGGTGATCTATCAGTGTTATTTCCTCTAATATTTTTACTTAGAGCCAAACGCACTTTATTCAAGCCCTCCCGTCTCTTCTCTATAAAGACGCTACAGAGCCATTAAGCACTTCAGATGATGCAGTTAGCAGCTATTTTACTAGCCGAAAACATGACGAGCAGCAAAATATATTCATACTTTTGATTGAATACCCCTGGTCTAAGGTTTAACTTTGAACTCCCTACATAACTTAGTTGCTTTGGTCATTTTAAGCTCAACTAAAGCACAGATATCATTTATTAGACATTTGGGTACGCTATATAACCATGCAGCCAATCAGCAATTTAGAAATGAAATACGTTTTCCTCTCACAACTCAATCTCCTATGTCGATTTGTATTGTAATTTCATAACTCGCAACTCTAAAGAGTTCTTACAAACACGGGTTGTCCTTCCCTTTACCCATGTATACTGTACAATTAAATTGTTATTTTTCCTTTTTTCTTTTCTCTTTCTGCCTTGGATTGCAAGCTTTAATCGGATTGTATAAGAATATTCTGACTTAGTCCGGTAAAGTGACTTACCACATTCTCGTGCTAAAACATGAAGTAATGTCTTAATTTTAGTCATCACTAAGTTTTCCTATGTCTAGCAATCACTACAGTATGTCTAGTAATCACCTAACCCACTTTACTGAAGTAAAATCCCCTGGATCTGATACCATTATTAAACCTTAAGATGAAGGACAAGCATGACCTGTCACATAGCAAGAGAGAACTCCTGTCAGCTATTTAAATCTATAGCATTTATAATTGTAACATCTGTATTAGGATCTTAAAAACCCTCAACATTCTTCAAAAACAGTTCCTATCATCTATTATTTTTACATAAATGTATCTAATAAGAGTCCCTACAGTCTACGGCATTAAGTAATTTTCCTCTATTCAATTTACATTTACCTAAATTATTTCAAATCTTGAAATCTATATCAACACTCAGCCCTAGGTTGAGTAAATCATCAAAAACCCATCACACAAATGAATACTTCTGCTAAGCTTAAACCATTAGTTTGTTCACACTTTTGTCCAGGTGTGTTGATCTTCTCACTAGCCTCACTGACGTTCCACCTTCACCACCTTCTCTTTGCGAGCCATTGCAATGGGCTTTCCCTCGTTGGCAAGGGAAGGTCGTTACTAGCACGCCCTTGATGCCCCTGCTTTCTCTGCAGTGTGGGATTGCTGAAACTGATTGGTGTAGTTTAAGTTGAGAAGTTTGAATGCAGGTGTTACAATCTCCAACCATTTTGCTGATCATTGTAGATCTTTTCCTAAGATCACAACAGCACATTTGCAGGTCCTTATTGATGGAGTGGATAAAAACCCTGGCATTGACAGAGCCGCTGGCACCTATAAATGGAGACCTTAAGTATTTTTGTTAGTCAACAACATATCTCTGCTTATCTGGCCTGTTCTCCTTTTGATGTAACCTGTGAAAAGTACATGTGGGATGTACTTTTCGAGGTAACAAAATGGCTTCTTTTTGGGCTACCATATTTTCATAGACATAATGAATTTCAAATTTAGAAAATTCAACTTTGTGTTCTCCTTGCTTTACAACTGGGACCTATTATCATCAGATACATTTTCCAGCACACTTCACTCTGTTACACAGCCCTTTTTTCCCCCTGGAAAACTCTCAACCCACTTTGTCGTTGTTAGCAATAACAAGACAATATCTGATACTTTTGACACAACACAATAAAAAATCAGTCCGATGAAGTCCATCATGCTGAAATGTTAAAACAGAAAATTAGGTGTGGGGTGAAGAAAGCAAACTTGCTTGCTTTGTCTTCCCGTGTTAAGCGCTGCACAAATGTGGCCTTGTTATATTTCTGCCACAATAATAACCTTGATATTGACCAGGATATGTAATCCAATTCATCCATGGCCATAATTTTATTATTGGGCATATTTTGCCCCGTGGACCCACTTGATACATTTAAAAAAAACAGCTGTTTTGATGGAATGATTTAGACACTACCCCTCATTCCATACAACACCACCACACACTTTCACATACACTTTTACACCCCCCTCTGGCCAGAGCATCATAACTTTTTTGTCTGCCTCAGCAGATTGTGAGCTGAGTGGGGAACATACATTGTTAGGAGTGGAATACCACTAAATCTGAACGGGTAACACAACTTTGACGACAGCAGAAGCTACTGAATGTAGGCACTGTGGCATTCCCCTGTGCGACAGTGTCTAAACGTTAGGATAATAATTGAAATGATCCGATGTCAGTCGCCATGGTGTTGAATTTAACACCTTGGACATAAATCTTTTCAAACTTGAAATGATTAAATGGTTTCTAATAATCAGAATCAGAATCAGAATCAGAATGAGCTTTATTGCCAGGTATGTTTACACATACGAGGAATTTGTTTTCGTGAGAGAAGCTTCCACAGTGTAACAGAATGACAGTGACAGAACAAAAAAACACAAATAATAAAAAATAAAAATAAATAAAAACAAAAAATAGAACAAGTAAAATAAGGAATAAAAAATATACAAATCGACAATTGTATGTACAGGTATATAACAATAGACAGTTGTATGTACAGGTATATTATGTGCAAATTGAAATGTAGACTGAGTATGTGTGTTAGATAAATAAGTGTATGAGTGAATAAATAGTGTGTGTTCCA